TATCCCGAATCCACCCCCCCACCCCCGCTATACTTTCCTTCCCTTCCCCTGGTACAGGTGTAGTACTATCTGTACCCCGTACTGCCGTCCAGTGCAGCCCTGTACAATGTATTCTGAATTTCGCCCGCATATTAGCTCTGTTGAATTTGGAGACAAGTAGATGGTCACGAGGGACAAGTAGATGGTCACGAGGGACAAGTAGATGGTCACGAGGGACAAGTAGATGGTCACGAGGGACAAGTAGATGGTCACGAGGGACAAGTAAATTGGGCCCCCTGCTTTAGTCCTTGGACAAGTAGTTTAAAAAAAAAAATTCCAGACCCCTGAGGACCTTCGAAACCTGTCAGGCAACCCAGTCATTTGCATGACTAGGTTAGCTAATATTGTAAAGTGAACCTGTCATTGCTATATATGAGATTTTAGATGTTAATAGTGTTGAGAAAAGGTACAGACCCAATCACAAGCCTTCAGCAGTTATGTAATAGGTCAGATCAGCACCCTGCACAATACATCACGCTGGAGTAAAGGTTCATATATCCCTAAATGAAGTACCTGTTTCACTTTGTGCCCGCTGCCGCTTTCATTGTTGGATAAATGTCGCTGCAGGATAGAGAGGCAGACTCCACCAGTCATGAGCAGCCTCCATGTTATTGGCTGGACAGAAAGTGGTCATGGTAGGGGGGCTGCAAGGTAAACTGATAATACAGAGATGATAAATTCTCCATCGTCACATCACTAGAACAACAAATGACAGAAAACGGAAGTGGAGTACAAAAGACTTTAAACTGGGACTTAGAGGATGCCATGTGCTCCTATTAAGGCACTTTACCTTCCTGCAACCTCCCAATGTGTCATGCTGATGCTGTGCATAAAGCCAAATTCGACACACACACACTGCAAGGGTTAAATGCTTTATCTCTAGGGTACCAGGAAAAAGACTTTGACTTACCCCATGCCTCACTGCCCCAGCTTCAAGCAGTCTCCGCTTCTCTCTGATTCTCTAGGTTGTAAGCAACCCCTCAGCGTCCTCACATACAATGCTACTGGCCCCAAATTGTATTTGTTAACATCCCTGGTCTCTGAAGCCCCTCTCCTCCTATGCTGCAGCATTAGAATGTTCCTCAGGGCTCTTACATCTATACAAAGTGTAAAGAACGAGATGATTTACAGAACCGTAGACCACTACAGCAGAGGGGGAAAGAGTCTGCAAGGATTGGTCTAAGAGCCAGCCAGCTCAGAGCATTGGGTGAGTTTAACTTTTTTTTTTTGGCAGCACCTACACGGGAGAAGCCTGCACTGCAAAGGTAGGTCAAAGTTCTGTCTGAAGTTCTTCTTTGTAGTATATGTATAGCCAAAACATTATTTAGTTTTGAGTAGATTAGGGAGGGATTCCCATTAAGGGAAATTTTCTCTCACTTCCTGTCCCATAGACAAAAAAAGTTACAAGAAACCTCCCAAACTGAGGGGGAAATACCTTTTTAGGAAGGTGTCCCCATTGGAACATTTCCCCTTAGTTTCTGCTCTGGGGACAACTCTAAAATTTGGGATTTACCATCATGTTTGGTCTCAGAGAGAATCACTAGGACAAATATTGAGGTGAACCTCCACAATGGGCCACACAGGGTCCCCTTCATCAGGCTCAGCAATGATGACCAAATGATAAACAGGTACCCTTTGTGGCCCCAAAAGCGCTTGTTCTGATGACATGATGTTTCAATAAACAAACACTTTGGATTTCAATTGAATTTGGTGTGCTGAAGACATCTGTCTACAAACATTGTCTGGCGGTGCCAACCACAGTCACTACAAGTACCCCCCCCCCCGTTTTTGGGGGTTTCCGGCAAAA